ATACTCTCCAGCTGACAGCTGTCAAACAAGAGGATGTTAAGTTTTCTTGGCCTGGTTCCCATTCTACCAGAGCTAATGGCATTTAGAGATCTGTAAGTAATCCTAGCCTGGCCTCCTCTGGAGCTCTGGGAAATCCAGCCCACCTCTCCTGGGAAGCCAGCTCTTCCACTCTTCTAAATGGGATGAATTACTTAAGGTTCAGCCCATTACCTGAACCGTCTTTCCCATGTGGCTGCCTTTCTTTCCAACTTCAATTCCCACTAGCCTGTCCCTCCAAAAAAAAAAAAAAAGCAGTTTTACCATTGGGAGGGGGGGAGGAAGTGGGAACCCACTGAGCATAGAAGTGTGTGCTTTTTAATATATACTGAAAGGGTATGGCCCAATGGTGGCATGTAGCTGATGATTTGGATCAGCTTCAATGGCTTTGTGAGAGTCTTTCCCTGTGCCCTGAAAACATCATTTTCCTTGCTTTGTCCTTCCCCTTGACATTGCCTTTATCGCAGTAAGTCCTCCTCAGCTGTTCCAGTGTTAAAGTAGTATTTCTAACTTATTTTGGACAGCATGCAAGGGTACTCTTGAGGTGTATAAAATATGTATGCCTGTCTCTCATTGCCTTGGAGAGAAATCAGGGAACTACAGTGATGGGGGGAACCGAGGCAGGATAGGGATTGGTAATGGGAACACCAAATGCCAGCATAATGTTGAAGGCTGTACAGAGAACCATATTCTCAAAGGGCAAAATATGATTCAGAAGACCGGGTCTGGAGTGGAAGCAGGGGTGGGTTCTACTTACCTTTACTACCGGTTTGCAACTGTAGTAAATGCGCAGAACAGGGGTGGGTTCTACTTACCTTTACTACCAGTTTGCAATTGTAGTAAATGCGCAGAACAGGGGTGGGTTCTACTTACCTTTACTACCGGTTCGCAGCGGGAGGCGCTCTTCTGCGCATGCAGAAGCGTTTCTGCATGCGCATAAGTGTTTTGATGACGTCGGGGTCAGTGGGCGCTGGTTTACTACCGGTTCTATAGAACCGGTGTGAACCGGGGGCAACCCACCACTGGCGCAGAAACGTTCTAATGATGTCAGGGTCGGTTGACAGAGCCTCCCGCTGGTTTTATTACCGGTTCTATAGAACCGGTGCAAACTGGGGGCAACCCATCACTGGGTGGAAGTCAGAGACTGTTGGGAACACCTTGAACCGGTATTTCTCAATCTTGGCAACTTTAAAATGTGTGGACTTCATAAAAGGTGGAGAAAATTTCGATTCAGCAATGGAAAATATTGAAAGCCTAGGAATCTGCTAAAGAGGACCATTGGCTTACTTTACTAATGTTATTATTACACAATCTTGTAGCACATAACTGGATTACAAATGTAACAGATTCTGAGTCCTATCTGGGAATATATTAGAAATTAAATATTTTGCATTAAATGCATATGCTTGAATCCTGCATCCAGTTTTGGTCGCCACAATATAAAACAGATGTTGAGACACTAGAAAGAGTGCAGAGAAGAGCAGCAAAGATAATTAGGGGACGGGAGGCTAAAACATATAAAAAACGGTTGCTGGAATTGGGTATGTCTAGTTTAATAAAAAGAAGGACTACGGGTGACATGATAGCAGTGTTTCAATATCTCAGAGGTTGCCACTACTAAGAGGGAGTCAAGCTATTCTCCAAAGCATCTGAAGGCAGGACAAGAAGGAATGGATGGAAATTAATCAAGGAGAGAAGCAACCTAGAACTAAGAAGAAATTTCCTGAGAACAATTGGAACAACTTGCCTCCGGAAGTTGTGAATGCTCCGACACTGGAAGCTTTTAAGAAGAGATTGGATAACCATTTGTCTGAAATGGTATAGAATTTTCTGCCCAAGCAGGAGGTTGGACTAAAAGACCTCCACAGTCCCTTCCAGCTCAGTTATTCTGTTATTATTCTGTTACTCTGCTTTACTTCATTGCATAATTATGTCCCTTCCATTAATCTTTTGCTGCCTGGATCAGACATGCTCCATCAAATCATTTAACAGACCTAATGGCTATTCTGACTTAGCACAATGTTAGAACATATTCTAAAGACGAGGCTGTTGTAGATAATAAATAATAATCAGCATGTCTGACTCATCACCGTTTGTGAAGTGTCTACCATATTCTGAGTAGTAAATTTGGTCAAATTTCAGAGGATTAGTCTCAAGGTTGATACAGTACAAGAAAAACAAATGTATGGGGAATGAAGAGGAACATATACCTCATTAGGTCATTCAAACTAACCCACAAACATTTTCATTTATTCTTACACAGATCTTATTGAAATAGGAAGTTTTAGTTCCATGTTGTCATGATGGTGCTGAAATTGGGTTTCTTAAAGAAAAATATGATTTAATGGTTTATGGATTTGAAGATTAAGAAAGATGAGGGGACAGACAATAATGTAACTATTGAAAAGAAGGAAGTTTATCTATTTATTAACTTGGTTTTTTCTTTTCTAAATTTTGTTTTTCTTCTTTTTTTAAAAGAAATTCTTTCGATTTGTGATTAACTGAACAGAATAACAGGGTTTGGAGGGACCTTGGAGGTCTTCTAGTCCAACCTCATGCTCAAGCAGAAGACCATATACCAGTGATGGCTAACCTTTTTGCCATCGCGTGCCAAAAGTGGGGGGGGGAGGCGCGGAAGGGTCGCGTGCGTGCGTGCCCACACTCATAATTTAATGCGCCCCGCCCCGTGCATGCACGCATGACCCCTCTGTGCTCCTCCCACTTGTGGCACGCAATGGCACAGTGGGCGCAGTAGGGCTGCTTTTTGCCCTCCCCAGGCTCCAGAGGCTTTCTAGGAGCCTCGGGAGGGTGAAAACAGCCTCCCCCCCTCCCCGAGGCCCTCCAGAGGCCAGAAATGACCCGTTTCCCGACTTCCGGTGGGCCTGAAAGGCCCAAAAATCAACTGTCTGGTGCACACATGCGTGCTGGAGCTGAGCTAGGCAACGCTAGGCCACAGATATGGCCCCGCGTGCCACAGGTGCCATAGGTTCGCCATCACAGCCATATACCTTTTCAGGTAAATGGCTATCTAGTCTCTTTTTAAAAGCCTCCACTTTTAAAGCACCCACAACTTCTGGAGGCAAGCTATTCCACTGGTTTATTGTTCTCACTGTCAGGAAATTTCTCCAACCTAGAACTAAGGAATTATTAGATCAAAGTTATTAATAAACTTTGAAATAATAAACAAGAAATAATATTTATAATGTATCTATTGTACTTTAAATGACAACATTTATGAGTTACCTTATTGCATTTCCTTCTAAGTTGGCCTTCAACTCTGTAAGTCTGTTGAAAGTGAGGAAGTGAGGAAAGATTCGGTAACAAAAGATCCTTCCCATTTTGAAGATCAAACTTCAAATATAACCAACAGGTATAACTTCCAGCAATGAAAAACTCCCAGAAAGTTTTACACTAGAAAGTGCAGCCATATCCTTATTTAGCTGGTCTCCTTAAATTTCATTTAACTGGAGAATCACTTAATACCTCGGTTCACTTCAATAGAACTAAATCCCCCCCTCAAAAAAAACAACCCTTATATTCAACCTAGCAGTTGTGTTGTTGCCCTCCTTGTGGGGAACAATTCTGAGCCAAGTCTTGTGCTAAGACCTGGCTCAATCAGTGTAGAGTGTAGCCTTCATCCTTTGAAGAGTTGTCCTCAGATGAGGCCATGATATCCTGTATTCAGTGGAGGGTGGCATCTTATTGGCAGTGCCCACATGAGGTCCATCTGACAATCTTATTGGCTCTGGTTTGTTACATGAAGGAAAGGTTAGAGGTGGGGTGAGAAACTCCCATTGTGCAAAGTAGTTTGCACAAGCCATAGGATTTCAGTAGGATTTCAATTTGGATGAAAGCTGTGAAAAAAAAAGACATCTAATAAAACAATAAGAAGTTGACTTACTTATAGATTAAGAATTGGAAGGGACCTTGTAGGTCATCTAGTCCAAACCCCCACCCCCCCATCCAAGCAGGAGACCCTACACCATTTTTGACAAATGGCAGTCCAATCTCTTCTTGAAAGTCTCAAGTGATGAAGCTCCCACAACTTCCAAAGGCAACTTCTGTTCCATTGGTTGATTGTTCTCACTGTCAGAAAAATTCTCCTTATTTACAGATTAAATCTTTCCTTGTTTAGTTTCCATCCATTATTCCTTGTCTGGCCTTCAGGTGCTCTAGAAAATAGCTTGACCCCTTCCTCTCTGTGGCAGCCCCTCAAATATTGGAACATTGCTATCATGTCTCCCCTGGTCCTCCTCTTCGCTAGACTAGCCATGCCCAGTTCCTGTTCCAGTTCCAAGTTAAAATGATCTGAATGTGATGTGGGGCAAGAAATCATGAGAAAAAGAACAATTTCCCTACTTCATACAATGAAGTCATGCAAAAGAATTGGGCTTGGGACAACAATCAATTTAAGACAACAAAGGTATGCAGGTAGTCCAAGACTTAAAACAGTTACTTAGTGACCATTCAAAGTTGCAACATCACAAAAAAGTGACTTATGACTGTTTTTCACACTTACAACCATAGCAGTATTCCTATTGTCATGTGATCAAAATTCAGAGGCTTGGCAACTGATTCATATTTATGACGCTTGCAGTGTCCTGGGGTCATGTGATCTCCTTTTGTGGTCTTTTTACAAGCAAAGTCAATGGGGAAGCCAGATTCACTTAACAACCATGTTACTGATTTAACAACTGCAGGGATTCCCTTGACAACTGGGGCAAGAAAGGTCATAAAATGGGGCAAAATTCACTTAAGTCTCTCACTTAGCAACATAACTTTTGGCCTCAATTGTGATTGTAAGTTGAGGACTGCCTGTAAAATGTTCGTTTTGGAACAAGATGCAACTATTCTATAACATGAAGAACTATACATCTTGGTGAGGAGGGGGAACAATTTCCAGCCTGGTGGAATTTTGCAGAGATAAAAAGGTTTTGCATGAACTGAACTTTTCCTGCCCATTCCCTGGACCTCGGCCCAGCCCAATAGTAAGGCAGGGGGATGGGAGTGGCTACTTTTTATGATCTGATATTTGTTTTTCCTCCCCAACCACCATGCTGAGCTACAATTAGGATGTGATGACGACAGAGAAGTTGGAGCATGAGCCAGACTCTGATGGACGAAGCAGATTGAGCAGAGTCTATCTCAAACAGCAAGTGTGCACAGTTTGTAAATCAGGGAGCCCGGTCAAAGCATCCTGGAATTCTGAAGAGAACCCACAGCTGTGAATTGCTTGCCTTAACAGGTACATCGGGATCTCACTAGGACAGAGACTTGTGGGAGGTGGGAGTGTATGTGTGTATGCGTATATACACACACACATGCAATGCCTGTTGCCCATTTTTGAAAATAACTGCATCCTGCCCTTCATATGCAACGTTCATCCAGCAGCTATTTAAAAAAGAAATGTTATTTTGATACAAGTTGGAAAGTTTGCATGTTGTAGTGGCGCACAGTTATGCACTTCTATTTCACATTTGCTGAGAAGTGGATGCTAATATATGATTACCCCTTTAAAAGATTCCTAGTGGAACAAGAAAAAAAAATATATGCAGGATGTGTGGTATGCAGCTCTAGACTAGAAGAAAGGCTGAAACTTTAGACTCAGTCTTTGATAAATGAGGAGCACTTCTGTGGTTTTTTGCTCATTTTGTTTTTATTTTTGCATATATCTTCCTAAATTTAGAGATTTACTTTGTGTTTTAGTCTAAATGGCTCCAAGACTATCTAAATATAATCAATGAGAATCCACAAAGTTGCAGATTTAGAGGGCATTGACTAATTGGTAGATGTTATCCCTGCCCTCACTAACTTGGTAGCTCTGCCTCTCCTAATTCCATGGTGATTAGCGTGGTGAACTTGGGTCATAAGTGAACAGAAACTGAGTAATAGGAATAAGCCAGAATAAAAGCAAAAGAGGACTATACATTTCTTTTCATTATATGCGTTAGAATTAATGATTATATTACTTAGAATTACACTGATGTTGAATTTCTGAGATGCCTTAGACAGTTTAACAACTTTTATTCTTGTCATAATTAACTGTTTTACATCATTATAATTTACAGACTGCATTTTACCTAGCTTAGTAATGCTGCAATCGTTTTGCTTATAAATTAAGAGCTGCAATGTTTTAATCATTATGTTTGTAATATTATGTTTCATTTATTCTTGAAACATCTGTAATCCAGTGGTGGGTTGCCCCCGGTTCGCAACGGTTCTATAGAACCGGTAGTAAAACCGGCAGGAGGCCCCGCCCACTGACCCTGATGTCATGAAAATGCTTCTGCGCATGCGCAGAAGAGCGCACACACATGCTCGCTTTGCTCGTGCGCGCACACAGCCCCATTGCGAACCAATAGTAAAGGTAAGTAGAACCCAACCCTGCTGTAATCCTTGTATCAACAGGGTTATGTCACTGTATACTAGTCTTTGATTGAAGCAGTAATACTTTGTTTCCTATAATACAAAATATGTCAAGGTATGGGACACAAACATTCAGCAAACAACACTTGTTTTACATCTAATTTAGTTGCCTCTTAGTACAATTCAGAAAGTGAATGGCTCTTTCACTACCTGAAGACAAGCTATTTTATAGTTGGTCTTTAAAAAGCAATGCTTTTCAAGATAACAATGGAAGTATTAATTAGGCATCATCTGGAAATATTAGTCCTAAACAATAAAAAATAAACACGTTTAAGAAACAAGAGTTTGGGGGAGAACTAAGCATGATGGGCTTATCTAGATAGAAACACTTAACTTTATTCTGCCTCTTCCCTCTAAATTCACTGGATTTTAAAATGAAAACGGTAAGCAAACATTTAGCACAGATGCTTTTCCTATCCCTGTAATATTGCAGAAAATGCTGGCACTGAATTTCCACCTGTCAGACATCTATTTTTAAGACCCAGACCTGCCACTTGAGAAAGAAAAAGTGATGGCAGTACAAATGGCCTCGTTCTTGCTAGCATTCTCTGTTCCAGCCTGCTAAAGCTAGGTGGTTCTCTCTGCCCCAAACCCAGGGCTCCAGCCCTCTCGATGCTTTTGTTCCTGCTGTTTTGCCTCCTCCTGTTATTTTATCCCCAGCAGGGTGGGAGGTTAATGGCCCTGTTGTTTCCTGTTTCCCCCTCCCACCAAGGGCTTTGAACTGACAGGGCTGGTTAGGAGTATGATGAAAACTCAGGAAACGGCAGCAACCCAGCAGCAGCTTCACGTTGGGGACCCTTGATCCTTTAATTTGCACCAGGCCCAGTTGCACACAACTATTATGTTATAGTCCATTTTGTTGGCGAAGTAGGTCATGCATTTGAATCCAGCAGAGAGCTCCTTTGTAGGTTGCAGTCTAAATTACCACTCAATGGTTGTATAAATACACTGTCTTCTTTTCTGATCTTGGGTCAGATTTGGCATTCTGGCCAGAAAAAAAAGACCACCTTTGTTTCCTTTGCCTCCCGCTACTTTCAGGAACAACTAATATTCTCCTGGCAGACAAGCAGATTCATTTTGCAAAAAGAGAAATTTTACTTTGTGATCCATTCCACTCCCAGGATTGTTCAAACTTAAATGTAATGCAACATGTTCTTCTCTTCTGCTCCGCATATTTATTTCCCAGATGTCAGCCATGAACTCCCTTGCATTGAACAGGATTGATGGAACCCAGGCAGAATCCATAAAGGACACAGTGGATGCCATTCAAGTCACTCCTGATTCAGGTCAGTGATCTGGCAACGCTAAGCAATAACAGCCTTCTGGATGGCACAAAAACTGTCTGGATTGCCCAAGTACTACTGTGTTTCCCCGAAAATAAGACCTTCTCTTATATTTTTTTGAACCCTGAAATAAGCACTTGGCCTTATTGCCATGTGCTCAAAAGCTCGATTGGGCTTATTATCGGGGGATGTCTTATTTTGGGGAAAACAGGGTATATTTCTCTTTCTCTTCATCTTCTCCACAGGCAAATGTTTAATACTCCCTCATAGAAAAACGTTACTGCTAAAATGTTGGGGCTAGGTTGGTGGAGTGAGTTAAGGCATCAGGCTACAAAAAGGAAGAGTGTGTAGTCCCACTTTACTTAGGCACAAAAACAAGTGGATGACCTTGGGCCAGACATTCTCTCTCAGTCCTGGGAAGCAGGCAATGGCAAGCCACTTCTAAAATCTTGACAAGCAAAATGCAGGGACTTGTCCAGGCAGATGCCAGGAGTCAAGATTGACTTGAAGGCACCAAAAAAAAAAGGGGGGGGAAGGGAAAAGACTCACTGTAGGTGGAGCTTTTCAGTTGGCATAGCTGGGCAGATAGATTTCTGATGCTCTGGATGGCGGGGGTGGGGGGTATCACACAAAGCACCCTTCCCAAAAAGGCTTACCTGGTACCAGGGGTGAAATCCAGCAGGTTCTGACAGGTTCTGGAGAACCGGTAGAGTAAATTTTGAGTAGTTCGGAGAACCGGCAAATACCACCTCTGGCTGGCCCCAGTGTGGGGTGGGAATGGAGATTTTGCAGTATCTTTCCCCTGCCACGCCCACCAAGCCATGCCACGCCCACTAAGCCACGCCACGCCCACCAAGCCACACCCAGTAAGCCATGCCACGATTTAAAGTAATTATTTGTCACGATGAGATTTTTACTAGGACATTATTCTCTATAAAGAACCCTGCAGTCTTAATTAAGATGAATTAAAATGTTTACTAAATGTCCCTTAAATGACTTTTAATTTTTAATTTATTATGTTTGTTAATGCAACTTTTATTATGACATGTATGCGCTGATTTACATTATTCTTCACAAATGATAATGTTGGTGTTTAGGCAGTGCTTCTGATAGGCCAGGTTTTCCTAAATAAATAGTATATGCCAGAAAAATATTCCCAAGGATAGTTGCTAGCTAGAGAGTACAAATAAAGGAACTCCCCCATGAACATGCTTTATACTTCCCTGTCTCACAAAAGAACAAGGAGCTAAAATCACTGGTCTATAACAGCTAAAAGAGGACAGAACAAGTATAGAATCTTGTCAATTTCACATTTGCTTGCTTGCCCAGGGCTACTGAGGAGATGCAATACTGTTGAGCCAGGATTCCCCTTTGATGCCCAGGTAGCACAGTTGAAATTCAGGAATCAGGAGGAGGAGTGAGACAAGCATTCCCTCCAATACCAAAAGAGTCTCCCCCCAGCCCCCAAAAGATCCAGAAAAGTGGCTTCAGAAAGTCTTCTGCATTGTAGTTGAGAAGAAAATAGCTCAACTGCCAAAAAGGGACAATGATTTAGGAATATGTATGCGCCAATCCAGTCTAGGAATAATTCAACTCCCCTGTATGGAAATGCTTCAGACTGAGTTGTACTTTTCAAATTAGATGATAGGATGGTTGGATTGGCTGGGATATCAAAGCAAATCCCTCTCTGAAGGTGAAAATCTCATATACATTCCTCTCATTGAATATCAAAGCAAACCATCCAATTTTGCATCTTGATCTACTGTCCCCCATAAGCCAGACTGGGCTGTTATTCACACAAAATATTTGCACGTGGCTGGCATCAGTTGGCTTTGCTTCAGACGACATGACTTCCTGGCAGGCTTCATTCCTGATATCTCTCACTTGGAAAAGGAAGCACTGCTGCATACAGATATGGTCTATGCTGGGCCTCAGGGCAGGGACATGTAGGACTGGACAAACAAGGACTTCCAAAGCCCGTTTGCAAAATCAGAAATGGCAGGCCTGAGGGACATCATGTCATCTTTTTGTTCTGGTTTTTTTCCATTATCACAGCCCTTCTGAAGGAAATGCAAATGAAATTCACCTAAAAAAAACCCAGGGTGATATGGACGAGCTGAAAACTGACAAGCAAATGTCAGTTTTTCACCCCATTATTAGAACCTCATGTTGTTCTCATGTTGTTCTCAGAATTTACCAGTCTTTTTCCACAAGCTGCTGTTCTTGGAGACATCTAGCACAGGGGTGGGTTCTACTTAACTTTACTACCGGTTCGCAACGGGGCCGCGCGCATGCACAGAAGCTTCTGCGAATGTGCAGAAGTGTTCTGATGACGTCGGGGTCGGTGGGCGGAGCCTCCCGCCGGTTTTACTACCGGTTCTATAGAACCAGTGCGAACCGGGGGCAACCCACCACTGATCTAGCACATTTCTGCTAAAATGGAGAAATACAAGTTTTGGGCGGGGGAGTTGGCTGAGCAATTCTGGAAGTTGAAGTCCACACATGTTAAAGTCTCCATGGTTAAGAAACACTGACTTAATGGGGGGTCCTTGATGCTCTCTGAGTTTGGGTGTTTTCTTGCAAGATGTTTTATTACCCAAACTAAATAACATCGTCAGTGCTAGTAAGGAGTGTTTGCTCTCAGAGAATAAACCCCACTCCTTATTAGCACTGATGATGTTGCCTAGTTTTGGTAATGAAATGTCTGCAAGAAAACAACCAAGCTTAGAGAGCACCAAGGACCCCTCATTTCAACCCTGAGCTACAAATATTCTCCTTTATTGGTACACTGGCTTAAACATTTGTCCTGTCACAGTGCCATTCCAGTGATCACTCCTCTCTTTTCTTCTTATCTTTCAAAAATATTATTAATTGCATGACTAAGCATCAATGTTGCTTTGCCCTGGCTTAGCTGCAATTAACAGAACTCATTCCCTCCATCATTTTTTAAAATTTATTTCAGAGTCCCTTAGTTTCTGTAGAAATAAAGACCAAGAGGCTTGCATTCTCTGGCTAAACTATGCTAGAAGAACATATTAATCCTACTAAGGGTTAGCAACAGCTTGAGATCTACCTCAGCCTTGTTGTGCATGAGATAGTAGAGGTTGAGTCAGTCCCTTGAGATATACCAGGCCAGGAAAAATACTTTATAAGGACCAGTAGAACTCTACCTTGTTGCTGCGAGGTATAATAACAGCCTCCTCACAGCCTGATAGAGCTTCCCTCTTTCTCTTGTTATACAAAGAGAATCAAGGCAGGGCACTTTTGAATTTCTTTCTCACTCCTTATTTTCCAGAGCTGAGCTAATATTTATGTAGCCACCCTTGCATTCCTTCTTCAAGGTTATATCCAAATGCTTCTATAAGTTGTGTGAGGCATAACCCCTTGTGATATTATTTTGGAGAAAATGCATATACTTTCTCCTGAGAGCTTGTGCCCTGTCCCCACTTGCACCTTAGCAAAGCTCAGGCATGACACAGCAAGTTATCCGCTTCAATCTCTACCTTAATTTCATCACATTCGCTTCACTTCTATTCCCAGCCCGTACGTGAGACTGGCTTCAGACATTTAGCATTTTCTCCCTTAAGTTGATACTGTCTTACCACATTGTCAAGGTTCATAAAATCCATAATGCTTTGCCAACCATTGCCTTAACTATGAATTCAGGTGGACAATAGTAGTGTGTTCAGAGGAATATTGTGCATACCGATTCCCTTCTGGGAATTACCTAACCTCTACCCAGTGGTGGGATTCAAAATTTTTTACTACTAGTTCTATGGCTTGGTGGGTGTGGCAGGAGAAGGATACTGTAAAATCTCCATTCCCACCACACTCCAGGGGAAGGATATTGTAAAATCTCCATTCCCTCCCCACTCCAGGGGAAGGTTACTGCAAAATCCCCATTTCCTCCCAATCAGCTGGGACTCAGGAGGCAGAGAATAGATGGGGGCGGGGCCAGTCAGAGCTGGTATATACTGGTTCTCCAAACTACTCAAAATTTCTGCTACCACTTCTCCAGAACTGATCAGAACCTGCTGAATACCACCTCTGCCTCTACCTCAAACATTTCTCTCTCATTCTTTAGCCTGGCCATTTGTATTTCATTTCCTGCGTTGCTATCATAACTTTCATCTCTCCCATTTCTCTGGTTTCAATACCACTCTGTTTCCATCAATGGAGAAAGGAGAGCTGAATTCCATCTTTTCATCTGGAGAAGAGGAGGAGTGAATTTGTGTTTATTGCTAGCTTCCTTGTATTGGTCAGTTTCAGTCATTGAGTGGTGACCCAGAGGCTAGTCAATTTCAGTTGCTCTGCAGGTCCTCTTCATGGCAGATCCTCTGCCAAGGTTGCCTTGCTATCTTTCCATATGTTTCTTTATTTCATATAATTTTTAATTGAAAAGTGCCCAAATAAGCAGTAAGAGGTGACAAACCAAGTGCCCAGAGTTCCTTCCCTTCCCTTCCCCTGTAAATTTCAAAGTTGTGTCTCTAATGTAAATTACCAAACTGCAGTGCAATTCTAGAGCACCTTTTATGATTGCTTGTGGTATATTACAATAAAAAACACCTAAATACTTTTGAGATCAAATTACATGATCTAACATACACAGTAAATTTTTCCTTTCCCACAGTCCTAAATAGTCCTACCTCTCCTAAATTATGTATCTTCCAGAACTTTGAAACAAGGTATAGTGTATCATGTGATATAATTCTGTACATAGTCTTTTTGGAACTAGGATTCATTTAATTCAAGAGATTTGCTTCTTGCTAAGTGTTTATATAAGACTGCACCATAGATATTATTGAACTCTGCCTCTCCTCAAATAAAGCCACTTTCATACTTCTGTATGGAAGGAGAGACGTAGCTAATTCTGCTTTCAGTGATCAGAGCATGAAAAAGCAGCAGAGAATATATTTTTCCCTGAAAACCAGATTTATTTGTTTAAGGAGTGTAGCTCCAGTGAAAATGTGATCCTTCTTTCTTTCACAAAGCTAGTGAGAGTGGTATGGACAAGAGCAAAAAAGGAGTACATCAATAATGTCAGCCAAAATAGACTTCTTGGTTATATTGGGCTATTGTAATGGTCTGTAATCCACTGTGATAGTCAATTATTTATGGAGATCTATACATATTGATCCAAGCTTAGGTACAGAGGTTTCTACTTTGGATCTGCATCAATGCTTCCAAGTTGTCTTCTCCAGCCACTATTTATATTGCTGTTCTATGAATGCTTGTATAAAGCATCAATGGGTAAGGTTGTTTGGGGACAAGAGGATCCACTTGGCCTTTCTGTGATGTGGCAAGCATTGCCCTGCAAAAGTTGGTTTAATATAAATTTAAATGAAGCATAGTTGAAATGACTAGTCCCTGTGTGTTTGAGGATTTCTCGCTTCTATTTTATTACCAACTACTGGATGGATTCTAGGAGCAGTGGCTCAACTACTCATCACTGGTGAAAGAATATTGTAAGCCTCCCAGAGTTACCTGGAGGTAAGATGGGTGGCTAATAGATTTTTACAAATAAAAATAAAATAAAATACTTTCTCAACGAGTGATGTGTTGAACCCAAATTCCCCAAAATGCTGATTTAAACTTATGGGAGTTGTAATGATTAGCAGGTGACATGAATTAATTAAAATAATTCACTTTTGTTTAAAAACATGAATGGTCACTTTGATCAGAGTGGTTGAAATAGAGATTGGAATCAGGGCTTGGAAGGAAGTATATAATTTTTTCCCCACCTCTCAAGAAAGTTATTCTTAACCACAGAAAGGAAATTGCTGTTTGAGCTGCTATTCTGCCTTGAGCTAAATAACAAGTTGATCAAATGCCAGCCTTGTACCTCTACCCCTCTTTTCAATTTTGTTGCAGAGCTTCCTCCTTCAGTTGCCACCAGCACGGCCTGCTTGTCTTCCCAACAGGGGAAGGTTCCTCTCCGCCTTGCCTCCTGCAGCAATAGCTGTGGGGTTCCCCCTCAGGCTTCTGTGAAGCAGCAGCAGCCCCAGACCTCAAAGAAGCAGCGCATCAGCTCCACTTCCTCCGTCTGTACCACCAGCAGTAAGAAGAGCTGCAAATCAACAGCTTCTCAGATTCAAGAGGTGGCCGGGGATGGTGAGTTCATGGAGGGAGGGGCTGGTAGGGTGGCTGCTGAAGAATGACCACTGACAGGTAATGAAGGAGAAACAGCCTCCAAGGAGTAAAATTTGGGTTCTGGGTCAAGATTTAAAACAAAAATGAGAATTCTATCCCATAGGAAAGTAATGAGAGAGCAGGACAAAACCACTGGTGGACGTCAGGAATTTCCCATTTGGCCCCTGATAACTTTTCCAAGGGCAAGCAGATACTCCAGCAGAGGACTGAGAGTGGCAAAATGGCAGTTAACTGAAGTTACACCCTTTTTAATGTCTGTCTTATACATCCCATTCATGTAAAACAGGGCAAGGTATCGATTACCCAGACACACACACTCCAACCAAAAAGAATATTTAAACCTGTCTTCTTCCATACAGATAGGGATGGCTTTATAAAGAGAACTCTCCTAATTAGGAAGGACCATTTCCCACCTAAAACCTATCACAGAGGACAGCTCTACTGTTAGGCAGACTGAGGCACCTGCCTCAGAAGGCAAAGAACAGGTAGACCAATTCGGGCTTCCTGAACTAACTTTGCTGAAAGTTCAACTGCGGACGGCATTAAACCCCAGTGAGATCTTTAAATCAGATTCAACAGCAGCTTGAATTCTCCATGGCAGCTAGTCATGGGGCTACAGCATGTTATTTCCAGTAACAACATGGAAGGCCTTTCAGGGCCATGTCTTGGAAAACAGCTGGAAGATGGGAGAAAGATGATTCCCTTCTAAGCTGCCTAAGGGATTCATGGATGCTTTTGGTAAGCCATTGTGAAAAAACAAGGCTGGCTTAAGAAGACAATTGGTTTGAGCTTGCAGGCCTCATCCTGCTGTACTTCTGCGCCATGAAGGAGTGGTGTGGGAGGCTCCATCTTGTCTTGGCGCATGGTGGGAAACATTTTGGAGCAGCCTTGCCGTATCAGCATTCTCCATTGGTGGATACACTGTTTAAAATCTGAAATGTGCATTTTATAATCATTGGGAAAACTCCTAAGGCCAGGATCAGGAATGACTAACGGGGGTATAAGACAGGAAAAGGAAAGCTTAACAAGGAGGTTTGGTCCCATTCTGCCCACAGTTTTATTTGCAGTGAGAGATAGGGTTCTTTGCATCTCTTTTGCTGTTTTCTGTGATTGTGGGTTTTTTGCAGGCTAGATCTCCGGAATGATTAGCAAAGCTGACTTTTTTTTATTGAGGCTAGAGAAAAAGCTCTTAAATCATTACTCAGCTGACAATGAGAAGGGTTGAAGAATATTGTGTACCATCAGCCCAGGGAGCATTTAAGGGTGCAGTTGTTCCACTTGTAGACTTCTTAAATGGTACCCTTCCAACTGGGTTGTGCCACGTGTCTGCCCTGAAAATGTAGAGTGGCTCTTACCTATCTTCCCCTTTACGCTTAATGAATTTAAGTGCCAAAGACCAGACATTCCTAATGGCTTTTGGCTGGAGATGCAAAAATAGAAACAGGCATAAACCAAAAAGGAGAATTCAGAACACGTCCCTTAGCTGTAATGTGGGATAGCTTTCTCATAGGGGCTCATTAAAAAGATGAGATGGGCAGACCGGCAAATCAGAACCTTGATTCCGTCCTCCTCTTGTATGTTTAAAATGGGCCTCCTTTGTTTCATTCATTTTTATTACATACACACATGTGTGCACACAGAAAACTATCAAATCTGTGCTGCAGAAGTTTAGGGAGAGACACCGAATGTGCTAATTCTTTGGTCCAGTGTCATGATTGTCTGAATTTTTCTAACAAAACAGGCCCAGGAATGGGGTTTGGGTTTCATGATATCTGAGGTACCAGCCAGTTCAGTCACTGCTAGCTTCAATTTAGCATGCAAAGCAAATATCTTCAGATGTTGATTTTTGCCAAGAAAGCTACACTTGAATTGATTTATAAGGTATAAGGATGTTGCCAAATTCACCCTACTACTGTGCAAATGTGACCTCTGTCTTCTCCTCTGTCATATTCCTTTCTACAGAGGTGTGTGCTGCCATCCTCTTAGCCTCTTTTGCTATTTTTCTGATATCCTGCCTCTTCTTTTTGGGCCCCACTCTTTCTGCTCTGTCTGTCTGCCTGTCACTCAAGGCTCCTGGGGCTGTATTCTGACCCTTCCAGCTGTTGTTACTGCTGTAAGCTTGAAGGATCAGCCCTGGAGTTCTGCTACCAGAGTGGTGAGTGTCTGGAACTTGCATTAGAAGTGTCTGAATTGTGCTATCATTGATTAACCCGGCTACCATGGAAGCTTCCTACTAACTGCTTTTCTTCAGGGATCATTATGGCAGGTGAGTAGAGTCTGACATTATTTTAAGAGTTCTGTGTATCCTTGTTCCCAGTATTCTCAGAATATTATCATATCTTGGAATATTGTAGAAGGAAATAATACTGTGCGTGGTGGCCAGATTGATACTAATTCTGTTATACTTCCTGAGCAGGGATGTATAGCCCAATTTTGAAACATTTTTAAGATGGGAAACTTAAAAACTCTGGTGTGAGCCCTAATAGAGGCATATCACAGTTTACAAATGCAGACAACCCATAAAACTCAGCATAAAGGCAGAACCGATTTTGCTCATCTGGTAAGAACATCTCAGGAAGACTTGTTAGGAATCCCCCTTCTCTCTGAAGTGAGGGGACATGGACAAGATGATATGCTTCCCTAGTGGACCTCATCCTTTGGAATGCCTTGTGTTTAGAAATTTCATCTCCCACAGTTTTTAATAAACAGTTTTATTTCACTGGATTTTCAACCAGGCTAACTTTTATTAGCTTCCAACTTGTTGGAGGTTTGACCTTATTGGCTTATCATTATTGTGCTCTTTACAATTTTGATTTATTTTGCACTTTCAGTTGTAACATGTCCAAAGTTGTATGAGCTAAGAGGGCTATCAAAGCTGATAAAAAGATAGGTAGGTAGGTAGGTAGGTAGGTAGGTAGGTAGGTAGGTAGGTAGGTAGGTAGATAAGATAGATAGATGATAGATAGATAGATAGATAGATAGATAGATAGATAGATAGATAGATAGATAGATAGATAGATAGATAGATAGATACCGTGGGTAGGTAGATAGCAGAGGTGGAATTCAGCAGGTTCTAACCAGTTCTGGAGAACCGGTAATGGAAATTTTGAGTAGTTCGGAGAACCGGTAAATACCATCTCTGACTGGCCCCACCCCCATCTAGTCTCTGCCTCTGTCATCCCAGCTGATCGGGAGGAAATGGGGATTTTGCAGTAACCTTCCCCTGGAGTGGGGTGGGAATGGAGATTTTGCTGTAACCTTCCCCTGGAGTGAGGTGGGAATGGAGATTTTACAATATCCTTCCCCTGCCATGCCACCAAGCCATGCCACACCCACCAAGCCACACCCATAGAACCAGTAGTAAAATTTTTGAATCCCATCACTGATACGATAGATAGATAGATAGATAGATAGATAGATAGATAGATAGATAGATGATAGATAGATAGATAGATAGAATCCTAACCTCACATTTTACAGCCTTTAGTTTAGGCCTCCAGGTAATGAAAAGTAGTTTGTCCTGGCATTTTCCATTATCCTTTTCCTTAGAGCGGCCTAGAGGTGTGGAATTAAATTCCCAGAATTCCCTGGCCAACATGATTATTCTTGAGCATTTAGGGAGGTGAATTCCAGTCTGGAGAGTGCCATAATGGAAAAAACTGGCCAGGAAGGTCAGAAATATAAAATAATTTTTTGTTGCAAAGTTTCAATCAAAGGCCAACTTTTTCAAAATCAGTGAGAGAGAGACAGGAATCCTCTGTTCTAAAAACACCTTGCTTGATGGCTGTTTCTGTGGGATGTTGAAGAACCATGATTCAACATATGGAGGACCCAGTTCTCTAGATCTCTTTTCTGCCCAGAATTTATCTTTTATAATTTATTTAAGGAAGGAAAATCCAAATGGGTTTACCTTTGGGCTCTTTTTAACCTTTCTTCTAACCAGTTTCTTTGCAGAAAATGTAATTAAACATGTTTTTCTGTCAAGTTCCATTCTGTTCTATCCTAACCTATTTTGCTAGAGAGTAAGGAAATAAACATTTCCAGAGTTCAGCAGCAAGATCAAATTAATCTTATTGCAAAAATACAACTATTTGTATATGGAGGCTCTTGAGCCATGGTAAAATTAACCTGGACTTTATATGAAATTCATAATTATATGGGCAATTAACCTATCCTTATAAATCAGAGGAAAAAATCTTTGTTTGTTAGAAAATGAGAATGAAATTATGAGATGCATTTAGCTTTATGGTCTATTTGGATATGCAGAGAATCAGAATTTTGATCAGGAAATTAACTAGCTAATACTCTGTAGAGATGAGGTTCTTCCATCTTTAGTTTCACTACTCTAGACAAATCCAATGGTCAATTTGGGGATTGACTCACAACTCCTGCTCAAAGATCAGGTGGCAGCTATGGTTAAGAGAGCCTTTGCAAACATTCAGGAAGTGCACTAGTTGCACCCATTCTTAGACCAGGAGGCTCTGCTCACAATAACTCATGCTCTTGTAACCTCTCATTTAGACCATTGCAACATGCTCTACATGGAGCTGCCCCTGAAAAGCATTCAGAAACTTCAACTGGTACAGCATGTGGCTGCACTGATAGTAAATCATGCCAGATCAGGGGTGAAATCAGGCAGGTTCTGACAGGTTCTGGAGAACCGGTAGCGGAAATTTTGAGTAGTTCGGAGAACTGGCAAATACCACCTCTGGCTGGCCCCCATGTGGGGTGGGAAGGGGGATTTTGCAGTATCCTTCCCCTGCCACACCCACCAAGCCACACCACGCCCACCAAGCCACGCCCACAAAACCGGTAGTAAAAATTTTTGGATTTCACCACTGTGCCAGATATATGGCATATGTAACACCACTCCTGTGTGAGCTGTTTCTGGATGCAATTCAAAATGCTGGCTGTCACTTTTAAAGCCCTACATGGCTTGGTGCTGGGTTACCTGAGGGAACTGTCTTTTACCAAGTCCAACTCGATCTAGCAGATTGGACATGCTGCAGACCTTGTCAGCCAAAGAGTGTTGGCTGCCAGGGTGTCAAACTTGATTTCATTGAGGGCCAGATCAGCATTCTGATTGTCCTCCGGGGACCAGAGGTGCGGGGAGGGGCATGGCCGAGGTCATCGCAGCTGACTGGGCATGGCCCAGGATGTGGCCAGTTTGATATCACTCACAATGGTCTCCCTGCATCTCTCTGATCCATGAGGAGGAGGAGGAGGTGGCGGCGGCGGCAGCCAAGGGGTGAACAATGGATGAGGCAACATTGGCCTGCCACCTCCTGTGCGCACGCATGTCTGCCCGGATGGCGTGGGCTGGGCTGAAGTAACATGGGCTGGCCCCTTACAATTTCTAGGACAGCAGCGCGGACCAGATCCGACCATGTCGTGGGCCAGATTCGGCCCACGGGCCTTGGGTTTAACACCCCTGGTCTAGAAGGTCGGCCTTTTCTGCAGTAGCTGCTGAAATATCTGCGAAATATCCTCCCCTTGGAGATTAGAATGGCCCCAATCCTCTGGGGCTTTTGTAAAGCTTTAAAAACCTGGCTGTGTTTCACATCTAGGATGCTGAATGTGCTAAGGGCCCCATTTCATAGATTTATTGTTATCTGTCCAAATATCTCAGCTGCTATTTACTTTGGATAAACATTTTTATTGAGTTTTTTATTGCTTTTATTGTGTTTTAAAATGTTTTTGTTGTTATATTTTTTGAATCGTAAGCCGCCCATTAATTGAGATGGGTGGCTATAGAAATTGAATATATAAATAAATTTATACAGCAGTCAAGATAATTAACAAGTTAACAATAAAGCCAAGGAACAGGGTCATTAGCACATTCAGAGCCTCAGGCTTGAGCGCATAGCCAATTTTTTAAAAAACCTTACCAAGTATTCGTGATGTAGTTCACAGACATTTTAGAATTTGAAAGGGGAGACAAGGGAACAATGATTTTATTTTAATATGCTGTCTTTCTTTCTTACAGTTTAGACTATTTACAATAAAGGACAAGATAAAAATTAATCATTTGTTTTGAACATTGTTCCGTATAAAGTTATATGACACATAAATGGGCCACCGAATCTATATACATATACCATGGCATCGTCATCCTAGAAGAGGATAAAGGAGAACCTTATTTTCCAACGTGCAAACATACAGATTTTCATTTGCACTAATTTATGTAATGTCCCACCCTTTGAAGTGATCCAGCAGAACAGTTTGTACGTATCATATGCTGATGGACTAGAAAAGATTTCTGACTTCGGGGGCAGGGGAGTTAGCAGGGACAACAGAAGGAAGGGATAATAGCAATGTGGAAATCTGTGGGTAATTGATCTTAGAGTTCCCTTGTATTCCTAATCTTTTTTTTCCCCCTCTCCTTTTCCTCCAGATTCTTGTTCTCTGTGTGCCCTGGCCTGCCTCTTTTGTGAGTTCATGACCCTCTGCTCTCTCTTCCTGGAATGTGGGGCCTGTAGGGGCTGCCTAGAGGCTTGCTGCAGTGTGGAAGGAGGGGAGCCACTATCTGAAGGCTGCTGTGGTGAGGCAGGTGGTGGAAATTGCCCCTGTGGTTTGGGTTGCGGGATGCTGCAAGATTGCTGTGGTTCCTCGGACTGTCTTGAGATCTGCCTGGAATGCTGTTCCATCTGTTTCCCAGCCTAGTTGCCACGTGCCCATCCAATGTATACAGTGGCAGGCCCGAAAGGTGCCCATCTGCCTCTCCAAGATTTCCTTCCCTAGCTTCAGAGTGAAAAGGTGGATGCTCTGAATTTCTTTTGCTATGGCCTCATATATTGTGATGCCAATGAAAACATCATACTACAATTGGGCATCCTCTAGGTGGCAGCAAAGAGATACAAATACCTCTGGCAAGTGCCATCTAGTGGTTGTCTGCATCTTTGTAAAGCAAAAATGATATTGTAACTGCTGGAATACCCCCAATTGCCTTCACACATAATGGATGGATGTTATTGTTCAGACAAATGAAGCACATTTAAAACAGTTCCATTCTGCTATATTTGTGTCATCATCAAAAGTATACATTTTACTTAAAGTATACAGTATACATGGTTGCAAGGATGTCCCAATAAGATGAAGCAACCGATAGGATTTGTCCCTGGTCTTCTCCCTCTTTTAAAAAATGTGATTAAATATCAGCTCCATTGACTTCGCAATATTTTTATTGGATGAACTGAAACTGGAAAATTCTGCTGCTATTACGTCCTACAGAGGTCTCAGACCCAAGGAAATTCCTCTAATGTGACGGGATGGTGTGTGCCTTCGTTTCAAACATGTATTCTGCAACTCACTGCCTCCTGATGTGTTGAACTACAGCTTCCAGGATCAGCTAGAGAACCTGACATTTGGGAAGGCTGAGTTAGACACACTCCAGTTGCCATAGCTCCACTCGTGTGTTTTTTTATGTGCCAGATAATATATTACTATTTTAAACACAATGACTGTAAAATAAATTAAATTAAAGGAATAAAATGAAATGAGAGAATCCAACTTTTGCTTTTTAGATTTTGCTTTTCGTTTTCTCTCACATTCCATGGTAAACCTCTGACTTGCTGTTAATTTCCTGAGCTATCATCATACCTGTGGAGATTTCTTACATATGCTCATCTTTATGCAGATAGATTGGTTTTATAATTAGATAGCTTCAGGATAAAAAGCTACTTCTCTTAGGCAACTGATCTGGAGACTGATGGAACACATCCAGTAGTTTTTCCATTTTTTGTGACTGTATTTTCTCCCTGGAATTTTCTGAATCAGATGCTTACCTTTGAGTAAGGACCTGGACAAGATCAAGTTTTTAAGAATGAATTTCTAGTTCTTTCTTGGTACCAAACTATAATATTAGGTTGATTCAGAACAATGGTGAAATG